GTCTTCCTCCAACCGCCACTGGTCTCCATATGCTAATATCTCCGTCTCGCTGCTTGTATTGGCTCCGACGAGATATCCGAAGGACAAGCTTCTCCTATGGTCACCCTCTCCAAGTTTCACCGTTCATGTGACGGGGCGAGACTGTCTCCGGTGTGTTTCCCTCCGGGCTTGTCTCCGGTGATGTTCTTACAAGCAATACACTTGGTCATGTCAACATAATACATTTGGGAGTGTATTGCATTCAATCTCTCCGGGTGAGTTATAACTTGTGCTCATACTCTCCTTCAATCTTAACTTTGGATGTGTATGACATTTGGTTAGGGCTATTACCGGAAACGGGTTCATACTCTCCAGCGATCTTACTGTTGGATGTGTGTGATACCAAGTTGGATTTATTAGAGGAATTGTGTTCGTACTCCCCATTGATCTTAAGTTTGGGTGTGTACGATACCAAATTAGATAGCATTTGGATGCTTTTGCTCTATAGCTGCTCTGCCCATTGTTGGTTGTGTGTTTTGGTGATAAAATACAGATTTATCCCTTGGTGGAGGCTCCATCTAGTCCTACTCCTCGCCGGCGAAAGGACAACGGGGCAATATGTTCCCGTCGATTTCATGATTATCTTAGCCCGGTGTTGTACTTGTTTGGGTGCGACCTATAGCTTTCCCGTAACGAGCTTGTTTAAACTCGGTTACGTCTATATAAGATCCTCCGTCAAGGAGAGATTTATCACAACCACTTCTTTCGAGTGTGTTCACAAAAGCTCAGCCTTTAAGGCAGCTATTGATGTTCTTTTGCCGGTAATGGCAGAAGAATTGGAGATCGATTTGCTTGCAATCGATTCTGAAGCCCTTTTTAAGAATCTTCCGGTTTTGGTCTACGATTCAAACCGTTTAACCTATCTTCTGAAGCCTATCTTGACGCATCCGAGAATTCTTTTGGATTCAGTGTCTTTTAGCTTTATGTTTATCCTCTTCTATGTGTGTATTGCTTTCAATCGATGTATTATGCAGTGATTACAATTTAATTATGAATGAAGAAAGTGTTGAAGAAAAAAAAAACCTAGAGTTTGACTGAAACAAACCAAAACAACAAATGAATTTAGATGCGTTTGATTCTTACTGAGAAACTTGGTACCCTCAAACAAAATATATGTTTTAACACATTTTTTATTAGTAAAATACAAAATACAGTAAAAACATAAATCCACCATTCCATGGATTGATCATTAAAGCCATTGTAGAAAAACGAAATCGGAATCACTGATAGAAAAAGTACCATGGTCGGTTTAGGGTAACTTTTGATATTTTTATACTTCTGTTCGTTGTCTTTGTCCGCTTCGTCATCCGCTTCCTCTTACATGAATTAAACATCAATAATGATGGTTGTTTTGAAGTTTTGTAGGATGCAAAGCTTTTTTAAAGCCTCGGTCTGTCTTCTCCTCGTTTGAAGAGGTGAGTGGTTCATGTGCATAGAGATAGAGACATGCATAAACGGAAAAGAATGGAGGTTCTTAAGCCGTGTTGGATTCCCGTTGCTCTTACCTTTTCCTTTCCTGTACTCTATCATGTTTTCCACATTTCCACTTTGTAGTTTTCTATATCATATTCGAGATTCCAAAGTAACCAAAATTACAGTTGTTAGAGGGAGTGAGACTTTCTTAGAATTTGCCCATTCACTATACCCATCCAAATCCTTGATGTGCTTTGTAGTAATCGAAAAATGTGACAGAAATATGTTGAACCAAGAATGATGATGCATGAAAGCTTACTTGGTAGTGTTTGTGGCAAACGGGACAAGCCATTGAAGTAACTTCTCGATTTCTGCTTTGATATCAGATCTCGAAAGCTGCATAAACACACAAGTTAGGTAC